CTTCGCAGGTCAACTGTATGTCCAAAACGGAGGTGCATTGAAGAAACCGGCCGTACTGAACCCTCATGTCGGGGAAATCAAACTGGTTCTGGGCACTTTACCCAAACCTTTGTCGTAGCCAACCCAAAATCAATCACCAAGCATGCTGCAAACGAGGACCAGTCTGAAGACCTAAAAGACGTGCGACTAATCCAACATGCCTGTCCATCGCCACCAACTGGCGTCGTAGCCGCGAGGAACCTTCCGGCTGAAGAACTTCGCTACCCTTTTATGAGGACTGACGGAATGAGCAACCCTGTCTGTAGACATTTTTGAATCTTTTTCTCGGGTGTTGTTTTGATTTCATGTCCATGTACGCGGATGTTACACTCTATTGCGCTTTGCGCCTGCCGCCCATTAACTTACAATTAATTGCCGGACTTGGGTGAAGACGTTCAATCGTGCCCCGGGCTTCGCAACACCTTCCTCGGGAAGGAACACTTATCAACTTGTACACGTGTTGCGTCTCGGCTGTCGACGTGACTAGTTTTGCAGGAAGTGGAAGCATCGATGTCAAGATTAAGATTATTGTTGCGACCCCCTGTACACTGGGCTAAGCTCAATCAAGATCAAGCAAGCTGTTCATGACTCCGCAAAGTGGTCTTCCAGCGCAAGCCGACCGCACGGCGGGGAATCACACGATGCCGAGGGCACTTTTCGTTCGATGCTGCTTACACGCTCGTCCTTGGCACAAGTTCCTCTCACACATCGTGCGTGTGCCGGTGTGCGAAAAAAGTCGCATTCTACCGTTTCCATGAAAACTGGTGGCCAATTGGCGGCGTGGCACAAGTAAACATGACGCCCTGCGCAAACGAAATCCGCCTCACCAGCAAGTGGTGGTCTGTGATGAATCAGTCTGATGATGCCATCAACAACTGTCCTACATCTGGCAAGTTGCTCGGTGACTCTCGGGCAAATGATGCCTTTACCATCCTCCCGACCAGTGCACCAAACAACCATTCACCGAGTTTGTTTCATAGGCTGGGCATGAAGGTGGATGCCGTGCGACGCTTGTCTTCTTTGAGGCTTGATCTGCACTTGAGCAAGGCACTATGTTTCATGGATCGTGCTACTGCTGCTGAACTTGCTCATGCTGACATATGGAGCATATTGCTTGCGGAAGCAGAAGCTGTGCCAACCGAGGTACAGCACACGCTCTTCGGGTCTAGTTGGTTTCCGCGTCGACTTTGTCATGGTCTGGGATACATTCCACCACAATAGCCTATCTGCGTTCCTTCCGTCTCCTGGTCGCAGCTCGAAAGTGCAATCAAGCACCATGCATGTGGAATACCGGCTTCGGGCACGAGATTGACAAGACCAACAAGACATCGGGATGTGCTGGGTTGCGTGTCGCTGACCGTCTCCCTTTCAGAACCAAGCACTTGTACTTCCAGCTAGGTTGCGGGCCGTAACCGAGGTGAGGTGCGGCGGCATTTCGGGCACGTAAAGCCAACGTCTCATACTACTCATGTTGCCACACCACTCCACAGTCCTTCGAGTGATCTTTTTGACAATCACCCTCGGCGTGTCGGGGAAAAACATGCTGTTGAATTAGTGCGTAAAGCTGCTCCATGCACGGATGCTGCTGATGGCATTCTGTTTCTCAGCTCGAAACTGCTGTCTGCACACCACCCGTGTTTGGATAGCGGATACGTGGCTTCGGGCCGGTGTCAATGCTGTCGATCCCAGCTGTTGAGCTGGATGCTGTCACCGCTATGGTCGCAAACTCATGCGAAGAGTTCTATGCATTCTATGCCAAAAGCACCGCCACCGCACAGATCCATCGAGCATGTGGCCACAGGTGGAAGCTGGGCGGCTGAGTTGTGTGATGGCATGTTTGGCATCTTTGCTTGAGTCTTCCTATGTCTTCCTTTGAAACGAACCTTCAAAGCTTCGTCTTAGCTTTCAAGCGACAGCCGTACCATCACGAGGGTTGTAAGCGCCACAAGATTCGGACCTAGACACCGTAGTAGAAGCCGGAACACCAGTTGTTTTCCCGAAAGCATCGCGAAGGGTTCTTCCGTGCGGAGCCCCGCAGAGAAAATACATAGAGAATACATGGGGTCAAGTACACTTGACTTTACGAACACTTGACTTAACGAACACTTGACT